GATGGAGCAGCCGGTGGCGAATCGTGTCTGAATTGAACTGAATTAATGCAGTGCTGGAGCTGGATCGTACCCCTCCATACAGGTCCCCACACCTCTCAGCACCGAGGAGGGGTCAAGCCCCTCCAGACCCTCTCTGGGGTGATGCCATGACTGCACAGACATCCCCCCCCCCGCCTCTCCAAGGAGACCGGCAGTGTTTTGGGGGCTACACCTGGCCCATTGGAGCATCTCCGGGTCTGTCAATGAAGCCCAATCCTGTGCGTGCCGTGGGCTGCGGCGTCGCAACGTAGTGCATGGCAGGATGGCCGAGCGCACGTCCCCCGCCAGCAAAGCCCCGCACTGCCAGGTTTTGAGCCCGGGGTGAGGAATCAGGGGGGGCGATGGGGAACGGCGAGGTGCGCACCCACCTCTCACCAAACCCCGGGTTGGGGAATCGGATGCGATGCCGAAAGCGGGGTGCTGGGCTCACTCCGCACCGTCAGGGCTTGCAGACGAGCCCCGGAGCGGGGACGCCGCAGAGCCCACCCCCCGACTCACCGATGCACCCCAAGGGCTGTGTTCGATGGGACTCTGACCCTCGTTAGGGCCACCCCACAATTAGCTGGGGGCCCTCGCACCACCCCGCCAGCTCGTGCGCCTTGCAGCGGCTGGAGACCCCAGGGATATTTATCCGTAGCTTCGTCAGCTGGTTTGTTTTCCCTCTCCTTACAAATTCGGGAGGCTCTGCCCCATGTTCCCGCTGCAGACCCATTGGGATTATCTCCTCCGGTCACCGACACCGGGGCAGAGCATCTTGTCCAAAAGTGACACCTTTACTCCTTATCCAGCATCACGGGAGCCGCCCGTGCACTCCGCTTTTAGCCTTATGGTATAATCCTCCTCCGTCCTCCTTCACTTCAGGGCGGCTTGAATTTGCAGTAAGGGAAGAAAATGTGCATTAAATAGATTAAACTGACCCTCCGCTTGCTCCAACCTCGGGGGGAGGGGTGGGGACGAGCTGAAGAGGTGCCCAAAGAAAGGATTTGCCCTCAAAAACCGGAGCGGCGCGCCAAAGCACTCTGCGAGGGCAGAGGGAAAACCTGAGACAGCGGCGGCGGCCTCGGCGATAAAAGCTGAGGGATGCGCAAGGTGAAGAACTGACCCCAAACCTCTCATCCCGGCTGCCCGAGCCCCCGTTTGCAGGGATGATCCTTCCCCTCCCGAGGGAATATCCCCCCTTCTTGGAGCCAGGAGGACTCATAGACTTTATTTCCACACCTCCAGCTCCTTGCTTGGTGCTAACGTCCCGGTTCTTCGGCATGGCTGGGCAGCGTGTCCCTGTCGTCGTCCCCCCCCCCCAGTCCGTCCCAGTGCGGAGGGGCTTACTTCGCAAGCTGAGCAATCAATAGGTAATTACCCACCAGGCACAGGCGCTCGCCGCCTCCCCGGACCTCAAAAACCACATGCAATATTTATCGGCAGGCTCTCGGCGTGACCCGCTTTGCCGTTGTCAGCGGAGAGGATTCGCCTCTCCTGGGAAAACCACCGGGGCGGAACCACATCGCTCCCACCATCCCACCGCCGCCGCTCCGAGGGGGCGACATCCCC